TCTTGCACTGCTCAAGACGAGCAGAGCAAATTTATTAATTGGTTCACCACTTCATCAATGGAAAGCGGATATTCACCAGCCTTTGTAAACCTGAGCAAACACCCTTACCAAACACTTCAGGCAAACTCACTGGTAAAGATAAACAATTAAACAAATGTATTGACTACAAAAGGTATATTTTAAGTGATCATAAGTGGTAGGTAAAAGGTCAGACTGGTTACCAAAGGAAAATAAAATATAAGCGCGCAGTCTAAACTTTCAACCCTATTAGATTGGGCAACATCTAGATTAAGCAGTTTTTCTCACCCCCCTGGATATTACAGTTCATAGTACACAGGTTTCACCCTTGAAACCTGGGCCAGTTCCCTCCGTTGGAGTCTTCAGTCTTCTCAGTGTCTTTGTTGCTTGCAGCCCTCAGTCCATGTGCTTGGAGAACACAAGTCCAGGCGTGTCGGGGGGCATTGCTGAGTCTCCAGGCCAGACTGAGCAATTCCCCTGGTGTGGCCTCATGCAGGTGAGTCATTGAATTGTAGCTCCCTTGCTGGACAATGGCTGTTGATGGTTTGACACCTGCCCAGGTGTTGATTACTTTCCTTTCTGTTGTCTGTGGGGAGCTAATATCTGGCCAATTCCCCAACTTGCAGCATGTTTTACTGACAAACCTGCAACACAATCCCATAACGTCATATGAATTAATGATACATATACTTAGATGGAACAGTGGGCGGGTTTCAGCAGATCATAACGTTTTCCCTGATACCTTACATGCCATGCTTTATACGCAAGATCACAATTGTATATAAATGAGGAGTATGGGGGTTACAAGGCACTCCCCCAAGGTATAGAATGTCACACCAGACACACAAGAAGTCACCAAAGATGAACGCACTGCATTTGAGACGTTCATTTACAGAGTTGTGCAAAATTACAAGAAGAAACCAAGAAGGATGTAGATGTAGTGCTTGAGTAGCCAACTTTAATCTGTGTGATGATTTTAAAACATGAGTTCAATCTAATAAAATGAGTGTGAAACATTTTTCAGTTTTCATTATGGTGCCATACAGCCCACCTTCACCCTCACAGTCTCGCCCCTCATTGGCCCTCACCCCCCATGAAAATTCAAACACCCCCCCCCCCCCCGCTAATTTCAATTCCTGGGGAAGACCGTGGACTTTCCTGTATCTCTGCCTCTGACACCTTTCTATTTGCTTGCCAGTGTCCAGCTAGGGGCATTGTTTCCATATCCCCAAGCCCCATTACAGGGCGTTCTGGATTCCAGTCCCTGGGCCAGTGATGCCAGCGGGTGCCACCCTAATAAGCGCCCCCCACGAGCTTTGCGTTGGCCTTTCTTCTCCTTTTTCTCTTTCTCGTTCTTAGGGTTGCCAACTTTGTAATTGCACAAAACCGAACCCCCTTGGCCTGCCCCATACCCCGCCCCTTCCCACAGCCCTGCCCCTGCCTCACCCCTCTCTGAGGCCCCAGCCCCCCCTCACTCCAGCCCCCCTCCCTCCATCGCTCACTCTCCCCGACCCTCACTCACTTTCACTGGGCTGGGGGAGGGAGTTCAGGTGCGGAGGGATGCGGGCTCCAGGGTGGGGCCAAAAATGAGGGGTTCAGAGTGGGAAGGGGCTCCGGGCTGGGGCAGGGGGTTAGGGTGTGGGTGAGGGCTCCAGTTGGGGGTGGGGCTAGGGATGAGAGGTTTGGGGTGCAGGAGGGGACTCCAGGCTGGAGGCCAAGGGTTTGGAGTGCAGGAGCAGGCCCAGGGCTGGGACAGGGGGGTTGGGTACAGGGGGCTGAGGGCTCTGGCTGTGGGTGTGGGCTCTGGGCTGGGGCCAGGGATGCGGGGTTTGGGGTGCAGGAGGGGGCTCAGGACTGGGACATGGGGTTGGGATGCAGGAAAGGGTTCGGGGTGTGGGCCCTGGGAGGAATTTTGAGTGTGGGATGGGGCTCAGGTCGGGTGACCAGCTAGCAAGCGTGAAAAATTGGGATGGGGGGAGGGGGTAATAGGTGCCTACATAAGAAAAAGCCCCCAGTATTGGGACTGTCCCTAGAAAATCAGGATATCTGGTCACCCTAGGCTCAGGCCTGGACAGGGGGTGTGGGTGGGGGTGTAGAGTGTGGGGTCTGGGAGGGAGTTAGGTTCTGACCAGGGGCAGAGGGTTCAGGGTGCAGGTGGCTCTTACCTCAGGAGGCTCCTGGTTGGCAGCACAGTGGGGCTAAGACAGGCTCCCTGCCTGCTCTGGCTCCACGCTGCTCCCAGAAGCGGACGGCACGTCCGGCTCCTAGGCGGAGGCACGGTCAGGTGGCTCTGCGCAGTGCACACTGCCCGCACCCCACCCATGCAATTTCCATTGTCTGCGGTTCCTGGCCAATGGGAGCTGCGGAGGTGATGCGAAATTTCCCTGGCTGCGCCTCTGCTTAGGAGCTGCAGGGAAATGCCGGCCGCTTTTGGGAGCTGTGCGGAGCCAGGGCAGACAGGGAGCCTGTCTTAGCCCCACTGCACCACCAACAGGACTTTTAACAGCCCGATCAGCAGCGCTGACAGGAGCCTCCAGGGTCCCTTTTCGACCCCGTGTTCTGGTTGAAAACCGGACACCTGGCAACCCTACTCGTTCCCCTGTTCGGTCCTGCTGCGTTTTGCGGCAAACAGGAAGTCCTGGTTAATGGTTAACGCCGGAGGCACCGCACTGA